CCACACAAGAAAAGCCCCGACCATGGTCTTCAAGCTTGATTTCAGGAAAGCTTTTGACTCCATTTGCTGGTCCTCCCTCTTTGCAATCTTATAAGCAAGGGGCTTCCCTCCCATCTTCTGGTCATGGGTCCAAAACATCCTTCACACTGGCAAAACAGCTATTCTCCTGAATGGCAATCCGGGGTCATGGATCCAATGTAGATGTGGCCTCCGGCAACGTGATCCTTTCTCGCCATACTTGTTCATCATCGTTGCACACGTTCTTCAAAGATTGATCGCCAAGGCTTTCCAAACGAACGAATTATGCCACCCGCTCCGAACGAACGAACCCCAGTGACACTTCAATTTGCCGATGATACTCTAATAATTGCCGCTGCTAGCGAGGCCGCAACCACAACCCTCAAAAACACACTACATGATTTCGCCCTTGCAACTGGGTTAGTCATCAACTTCCAAAAAACTGCACTTCTCACCATTGCCACGGATATCTCCACTCAAAACAACATCGTTGCAGCCATTGGATGTAATTTATCCTCCTTCCCGTTAATCTACCTAGGTCTCCCTCTCTCCCCTACCAAACTGCCCCTCTCAGCTTTCGACCCGATCATCGACAGCTTTCAAAAATTCCCCTTCGGTTAGGTAGCGCGGTTGCTCTCCCGTGGAGCAAGACTAACTTTGCTGACTGCGGTCCTAGACTCATTAACCGTTTATTTCATGTCCGTTTTTCGCCTCCCTAAGTCGATCCTAGTCAAACTCGACGCCATTCGGAGGGCGTTCTTCTGGTCCAACGAGGAAACTTGCACGGGTGCAAGCTGTTTGGTTGCGTGGAAAAACGTTTGCAAACCTAAAGATCTCAATGGTCTAGGCATTAAAAATCTAGAAATTCAGAACCGCTGCCTGCTTATGAAATTCTCCTTCAAAATTTTGCAACACTCAAACATCCCTTGGACGCAGTGGAATCACCACCAATATCCACTTGGCATCGCAGCAAAAACATCCAGGCCCTCTTTTCTTTGGAAAATAATTAACAAAAACCTACCCCTTCTAATTGAGCACTCCTTTGTGATCACCTACAATGGCCTCTCCACCTTTTTTGGCTAGATAAATGGATTTTAGAGTCGCCTCTCAACTAAGTTTTCCTACACCTATACTCACACTCCATTGATGACAAGGTTTTAGTGGCTACCGTTTGGCAAACCAGCTTATTAGCAAACCTTCGGAACCGTTTGTCTAATGATGCTGCTCGTGAGTTGGATTATGTGATGTCTCTGTTGCAGGATTTCCAACAGGTTGACCGACCCGATGAGCGGTCCCTCACACATGGGCTTTCATTCTCTGCCAAGAACGCCTACTCCTCCATTGTTGTTGATGATTCCTTCGATCCACACCATGACTTTATCTAGGCTTCCAAGGTTCCGATCAAAGTCAAGATCATCGCATGGCTTCTCCTCCGCGACCGGCTCAGCAGCATGCCCACGTTGTCAAGACCCGTATGAGGATGCTCTCCACCTCATCTCCAACTGCTCTTATGCGACACAAGTTTGGTCTCGCTTGGGACTGCCTGCCCCGACCTCCCTCACTGCTCTCCACCAACACCCACCGATTCAGGGCCTCAACCCCAACATCTGGCCATCGGTGGCCTTGACAGTTTCCTGAAAGCTATGGGACTCGAGAAACGCTCTCGTGTTCAGAAACGAAGACCACTCTCTCAGAACTACGCTAAGAAATATTGTAGCAGATTTCTCTCTCTGGGTTTTCCGTTTCAAAAAGACCGAAGACAATATCTCTGCTAGACATTGGCTACACTTTCTCTCCTCTGCAACCCCTTCTAGCTGAATTTGTAACCGTACTGCTGGTGTAATTCTCGACATCTCATTTGAGTGGTAATATATTCAGGTGGGGAAGCTCTCCCCCCGTGACCGTTCAAAAAAAATCCGCCAGTGAACATGTATGTGCCAATGAGATATTTCATGGGGATCTAGACAGAGTAAAAGCATCTGCACGAATTGTTTCAAAGTGGAAAAAACTAGCAGACAGGAAAAGCATACATGAGGGGTACGTACATAATAATCAAAGAGGTGTGTGCACTAACATCTTGGCCTCATGGAGGCGAGCTAGGAGTATATACATAATCCGATTCAACAGCCGCTTCGAAGACCCGTCCATTGTCGTTTGTGGTCAGGGCTATCTCACCCGAGCACAACATGGTTGCCACGCAGCTCCCTTGCGACTCAGTAAATCCTTCCAATGTCCAAACAGGCTGCCAATTTATCTTCAAAATTAATTCTTCCAAAGTCAATTATTAATCCAATTTTTGTTTTTGTTTTTGAGAAAAACAAGTCTAGATCTCAGTGTCAGCCTGCCTGTCGGCTACCAAATTTGTCTTTAAAGTTAATTCGTCCGGAGTTTAAGTGTTGGATTATTAGTTTGATTTAAAAAAAACGAGAAAAATAAGTCTAGATCATGGAGTCGCCTACCTGCCGTCGCCGGGTGCCACTGTTCAAATGTTGTCATAACGCGATGATGAACGTTTTGATGGAGATGCTAATTTTCTTTCCCGTTACAACGAACGAGCATATGTGCTAGTGAATATATAAAGAAATGATCATCATCACATGATTGCCTCTTGGGAATATTTGCAATAGGGGCGTCGGTGGTAGCAAGGGTGGGTGTGGGCAATGCACCTGTTGTAGGGAGGGTGGTCGGGGCACCGGTTAGATTAGGCTGGGTGGGCTCTGGTGCTCTGGTCTTGTGGGGGTCTTAGCATGACAACTTCCTAATTGTCTACTACCATAAGGTCAGATAGTCAACGATCTACCTTTGTAGCTAAGCTTGCTCTCCTGATGATGTGTTTGATCTATGGGGAAGGTGGATAGATACTACAAGATGAATGCTTTGATGCCATAGCGGGCTTGCCTCTTCCCGACAAGGTGCAAGGAGTTTCGCTAAAGCCTTGAAAAGGACCAAGGGGTTGAGGGGTTGGAACTCATTTGGTTCGCCACTATTAGAGTAGGTTAGGGCATCTCCAAAGCGAACCCTCAAACCTCCCTATACGCCCGGACAGCAGTGTCCGGACCACTTTTTTCATGCAATGGGAACTCTTATATATCCGCTTAGCAGTCCGGACATACTAACTCCGGTATCCTACCAACAAACATGAGGGGCTTTGCCAGAGTCCGGACATCCACTTGACCAACCAAAAGTAACCATGTCGTCCTCCCCTATTTTCTCTCTCTTCACATGCATTGTCCCCCTCTCCTTTCTCTCCTTCCAATGGGATTAATTTGAAAATAGCATTGGATGACCGACTCCTGCATGTCCGTGGATTACGTCCTAACATAAAAATGAACATTTAGGGTGTCCATTTGCGGGTGAGCATTGGAGATGCGCTTAGTTGGCATTGATGTATCTATGCCTTGTGGTTATGAAACTATGCTTGTAGGAGTGAACTGTGTTGCCTTTATGCTTGTTTAGACTTCAGTTTCGAGTCAACTATTTATGCGTTTGTCTTCTGAATATGGTGAAATGTTACATATATTGTCTGTATTTTAGATGAATATATTGTCTGAAATATGTTTAACATATGTTGCTGAAATATTTCCAATATAGATTGCCTTCATTTAGATGAATATATTTGACATGTTTTCATTATGAATCTTTTTTTTTGCGGGAATCTAATGCCTTCAGTATATGAATCTAATGCTAGCTAGATCTTTTTTATTTTGATTAGCAGAAAAATGTATATTTATTTCATTGTTTTTACATTTTACATTGTAGATGTGTTAACTGTAGAGGGAGGTGTGTGTTCATTGCTTATTAACAATAATTCAAAGTGGCAACCAAACAACATTTTTTTTGAAAAGGGGATGAACCCCGGCTTCTGCATTTGGACGATGCATGCAACCATTTTATTAATTATTCATCAAGACCATACAAAGTAATACATCAATACATGTGAAGGCACCATCTGTCGCTACTCCTATCAACTTGATGAAGGATGCAGATTGTCTGAGCCGTATACCCAAACCTCACAGCAAAGCCAAACATTTAAAGCTGGAGCTTCAACCAAGCCGTAATGTTAGGTCTGGGGCACATATCGGTCTGACTGACTCCGAGTGGTCCCCGCCACCGAAGACAATCCATCTTCAAAGAAGGTATTAACACAATCTGACCTTGCGAGGACGCCACCACGGCATCAAACAACACAACCGCCCTGCACTCACATCCAGACGCATCCGCCGCCAAGACTGTGCGGCACCATGCCGCCAGGACCCACCAACATTGACGCATGAAGGAATACAGCACCGATAGCGCCTTCGTGGTCTGATCTAGGATACCCAGATCAAGGTCGTAGTCCGATCTAGGATACCCAGATCAAGGGTTTCCCCTCAAAACAGTCTAAGCGCGGAGAAAATGACCGCAAAAGCAATGTCTTCAACAAGGTAATGGCGCGTAGACACCGCCAACACCCGTCATGACCAAAGTCGGAGCTCGGTTTCCGCCAGCGGCCACAACTCCCCAACTCGCAGCCGGATGGAACATATGAGATTCATTTCATTTCACAAATCCATCTGGCAGCTAAACTAGAAAGCTTCCCAGCAAACGAAATATCCTATGATGAATGTGTTTTCGTTTCATTTCAAATGAAATGAGAACCGAGGTGCCAAACAAGCTATAACAGTTTGCCACAAGATGAACCACATCATTGAACTAAAACGAGGCACAATTACATTCCGAAGACAGCAGGCTGGATAAGACTCCGCTCCATCAGAGAGGAATACCAGTAGCTAGGCTGCCATACCTACGGATCAGTTAGCAACGACAGGAGAGATGCTCCTGCACATCATGCTACATAGGCTGCCGCGGCACTAGTGCTACCATGGCGGGAAGAGGTTTATCAGTTATACTACGGCAGTTACAACACAAGAGACCTCCATCACAGACCAACATATGATGTGCCTTGCAGCCTTCCAGAACAGAAATTCGCCATGAATATATCTTTACACATCTGTAGAAGCAGAATGAATCGCCTCACGCTCGGCATCCAGGCCACTTAACCTCCTGCTATTGTGTGAATCAGTGACAGAACATTTGGATTAAACAGAAGAGAACTTTAGAGAATATGTATCAAACCACCTTGGTTTATCAGACTTGGAGAAGTGCTTAGACATGATGGACGCCTGTAAATTCAGTCCCCAAATGTAGGTTACTGAGCAGTTTGCGCACTAAAATATTTGCTATTTCAATGCTATAGATAATTCTCATTTATGAGTGGTTAAGCACCGCATACCTGCTCTTGGATGATGCTTCTGGCTTCAACTAACTGAGCTTCAAGCTCAAGTTCACGCTCGGTAACTTCCGAGGTCACTTCAGCACCTTTTTGAGCATCTTGAAGTTGCGTCATTCGTGCCTGTGAAGTAATTTGTTTTACAGAGTTAAAGAGGACAGTGAGAGGGAGAACAGTTTGCATACTGAAACATCAAAAATAAGGAACGTGTGGCAATTCAGTGATTGCTACCTTTACTGAAGCCATTTTAGTGCGCAAACTCTCCTCTATCTGGTCTCTGGCCATGTGAAAGGGCAAGTCAAAGACATCCTGGCAGGAGGAAGCCCAACAAAATAAAGGATGGATCTTGTGACTCCAACTGAGAAAATCATGTGACAGAAAAGAAGGAAACACATGACACCAAATATTTCATTTCCCCCAATTTTACATTTTTTATGCTTCTGTTGTGATATCATACATGGCAGAAACAATGTGGATTTTTACGAGAAAAATTGAACCAACAAAAACCTCTGCAAAGAAGATTAGGCATGCATACCGTCTTGCCCCCAAGTGGGGACTGGGGAGACCCTGCCTCCTGTCTTCCATTACCAGCAACAGCAGGCTGTGATGATCCAGTTGGAGCATTAAGGAACTCACGCATATCCATCTGATATAGAACATTATTACTCAGATTAGAACACGGTGTATATACATCTATCATGAAAGGGATAATACAATGTGAATCCTATTAGCAACTTAGAATATTACACACCCATACATTAACAAACAACCAAGGAATGAAATGTGGAACATCGCAGTATTTACCTGCATCGAACGTAACAGTGCCCGCAAATCAGCATTCTCCTGGACTAGTTCTTGCTTCTTCACTTCATATGCATCAACCTGAATGCATTCAAGGTTTCCTTAGAATATACTCAACCAGCTATGTTTCAGTTTTACAGAAGTGGCTCACTACTTACAATCATTTTGTAGTAGTCATTGTCATTCTTTTTTCCAGTCCATGTTCCACGCTGCCGTCCCTCTTTCTGTCAAACAAAATAACAACGTCATCAAGCAAAGCAAACCTTACACAACGTCATCAAGCAAAGTTTCGCTTACACAGCACCTGCAACAAGTTCATTATTTCCATTCCTGAACGTGATGATTCCTTTTTCTTCTCCATCAATACTTGGTTTAGCTTCTCCTACAAATAGAAATAGTTCCATAGCAACAATTCAGATTATATCTCCATGCGATGTCTGTTACATATCTTATGAGAAAAATGCAACAGCTCGCCTGCAATTTGATGTATTCCTTTTCTTTCTTCTTCGTTTCATGAATTTGTTGGGAGCGTACTTGCTGACAGAAGGAAGATAGTGAATCAGGACAGGACCTCATCATCCCATAACAAGAATACTTCGATCATCCATAAACAAATAAAACAAACAAAACGAAAAGAAATTTTTGCAAGGAAAGGAAAAGGATAAGACCATTTAACCTGATTTCCAATAACCATTTTTTGAAATTCGTCACGTTCCTGCTGCAGCTTCTCAATATGAGCTTTCAGAGCTGCGGTGTTTTTGGCCTCCTGGTAATTGCGGTTGGATTAGGGGTTAGTTTTAGAATTTCAAAAGTGGTAAGGATCCAAACAGAGTTGACACGAGGACAGACCGTTCGGGTCAAAGTGGCCAACTCTCGATCTTTTGCTGCCAATTGGGCATCCATCCTTTCGATCTTGGCTTCCAGTCTTGAAATATCAGACTGCATACTGCACATTGTATAACACAAGCCGCCATTAGCCATATATAACATAGTGATTTAACAATATTCTATAAAACCTTCCAAAGGCTGCAAACAATTGTGTTGATGTTGTTAGAAATATGCAATTTGCATTTCCTGGGGGCCAATGGCCAATATGTATACACATGTACAGGTGGTAAATATGCAGGAAACCCCTCATACTACAGGGAAATT